AAGCCATCATCTGCTCGTAGATGAGTGATGCATAGAAGCTACCCAAGCCACAGATTTTCATTTTGCATCCTAACACTGTTGCTCTGAGAAGTTCCACTTTTACAGAAAAGCTCTCAACTGTACAGTGGCAATCAAAAGTTCGCTAGAACGAGTTTCTTTACCTGCTCTAAAGTTTTAGCTGCTGCATTTAGGCAGCCACCTTCACCTCTACAAAAATGCTGTCCCACTAGGGCAGCACCTTGCACTGCACCCACCTCTCCTAGGAAAGGTTTTTCTTCTGTAAGAACCAGCTAAGCCCTGCCTTAAACAAAGATAGTATCAGCTCACACCCTGGAATTACAAAATTGTTCTGCTGTTGTTCCAGCCAGAACTCCGGGGCTCCGAGCTCACCTGCAGCACTCCAAGGAACTTGGGCAACAAGGCTTTTTCCTTCTAGGGCACAGCAGCTCAGCCAGAGCAATGTGTGCAGCCTGCAGCTGCTGCGGGTACCCCTTTTTCCTGAGAGCACACCAAACAGACTGCACCACAGATAAACCATCCTGGCAGTGCCCGCAGCCTGCCCACCACTTATCTCTCCCCAGAAGCAGCCTCCTGGCCAGCCTCTTGGCATGACAGGTACAGGTACCCATTCACATGATGGGAAACAGCTGCAGGTACCTGGGGCATGGGGCTGTGAGCCAATCTAACAGCTTGCTCAAGGAAGAGGCGAGGCTTCCTGCAACTCCTCCAAACATCTCGGTACATGGCACTGCGAGAGGGACATGCAGGTAGCTGGGTGGTAAGGCTGGGCACCATGGGCACAGCATTATCCCATCACAACAGGCACAAATCCACGTTTGCACCTCCGGAACTGCTCAGGCAACAGGCTAAGCTCAACCCTGCCTGCCCAGCGGCAGAAGCACGCCTGTGTGGGAGCAGGACTGTTGGGCAAGGGCCGGAGCTTGCCCTGTTCTACCAGAATATCAGCACAGCACAAACATGTCGTTGGAAAAGAAAGGAAAACAATAAGAATTAAGACGGGATTGGAATGAGGCGCCTCCTCCACCAGTGGAAACAGTAGCACAGCTTTTCCAAAACCAGCAAAAGTCAGCCCAGCTACTTATGTTTCAGGCCCTTGTTTATACCTCATCCCTACCATCCTAGCCTCCTGCTGCAAGAAACAGCCTCATTTTCTAAGAAACTGGTCTCCTCCAAGTTCAGCATCCCTTGGATTACCCCACAACAGCACAATCTCTGTCTTTTCCTTCTTGCCTGGTCAATTAGAACCAACTACTGGAAGTCCCTCTGAGTACCTGTGTCTCCTCAGCACTGGTTACAAAGGGGCTCAACGTGCATCACCCTTAACTCCTTCAGTCCTATTCACCGTCCCTACGGCAGAATTAAAAACTGCCAAGGTAAAAGCTTGTACTGAGTGCCAAAAAAATGAGTCTGCGGTGCTTTCAACACATCTTTTTCCAACATCTC